AACATAAATTTTAAAATAAAATTTGGAATATCTCGTATAAAATGATGAAATAGTTTAGTCATGGATGATTAATAACTGATAAATATATAAGCATATGTTAGTTTGACAATATGAAAATTGATATAAACTGTGAGTAATGACTACAAAAGGATAGCACAAAAGATTTGTAACCAACTGACACATTGTATGTATATAAAATGGAAGATGTTTTTATGTTTTTATGTTTTATTTGTATATGTTTGTCTTAAAAAATAAAAACTGAAAAAAAAACAATGGAAATTTTGGACTCAATTGTGTCTGTACATCAAGGAATACCTGTATAAGGTTTGTCTGTTTATCTATATTCTTTCTACAACCATGCAGCATGTACATGTCCCATAAAATAGGGCAAAATAGAGCAAAATTCACTTAGCAAATGTTTTACTTAGCTATATAAATTTTGGGCTCAATTGTGGTTATAAGTGAAAGGCTATTTTATTGGACTGACTCACCAATTCCTCTTCTGGTTCTTGATCTGCGCCATCACCACCACCTGCCTTTTGGAACAGAGTTTTGTACATTTCAGCCAATTCAAATGTTGGATGTTTTTCAAATTCATCTCGGAGGGTGTCCAATTTCTTTTGGAATCGAGCACACTTTATATCCTTACTGATGTTCTCGATTATATCTGCTGGATTTTCAGGCCGCTCTTCCAGAATCTTTGCCAACATGTCAGAAAGATGGTCATACCTATGTAATTATGAAAAAGAACTGCTATTGACCAACTAGGACCACCAATCACTGGCTCATTCCTCTCCCATGCTACTTCATTAGCTTTAAAACCAAGCATTGTCAGAGAAGAAGCCCTATGACACCTGAAGATGTTACAAACTTTATTATTATCAAGATGCTGGGCTCAGAGGATGGAGGACTAACTTTTAGTTCATCCTCCATCACAGAAGCATGGGGTGACATTTGGACAGAAATTTTGTCCCAGTCCAACTGATCTCAAAAGGAAAACAAAAAGTGGGAGCATTATGTATAGTGTTGAGCTCCTGTACAAAACACAGAATATCCATGTAATTGTAAATAAATAGTGATACAAGCCTTTGTGGTCTGTAATCCATTTCTTAAGGTTGATGCATCCAATGAAGTGAGCTACATTTGTTACAGCATAATCCTCAAGTATGCCATAATAAATTTAGAGTGTCAAAAATCTAGGTATCAGTAAAAGGATACTGAAAGTTCTTTGTTGTCATTTAGCAGTGATGCAAATATTTGCTACCCAGGTATAGTAGACTTATGAAATGTATCAATTTTAAAAACAGGCCACACAACTCAGGTTTTATTCAAGCAAACTAATCCAATGACAATTCTGGAAACTATTATTTAGCTTGGATTAATTTAAATCTTTAAAGCTGGGACGGAGTAATATTTTTAAATAAAGAGTTTGGAGATAAATGAGATCAACTTCTGTAACTTTTAGAGTTACAGGTTTTGCAAATTTATCAGATCCAAGTTGCAAATATCAGGGTTTTGACTTAAAAGGCTGGAGTTTCCTCTATCTCTTTGCTGCCATCTAGTGTCTTATCGGGCTTCTGCAGCAGCAATCGCATAAGTATAAATTTCTTATTTTTTTGTGTGAGGTCCTGCTTCCCAATCCAGCTCTAAAATGTACCCATTGGTTCAAACGTTAAACTCTGGTTGGACTGCCGTTGCTCAAAAACTCACAATGGCCGGCTTCCCACAACCACAAAAGTTAAACGGAGCGTGGTAGGCAAACCCAACACTGCCTGCAATTTTTCTTGTTTCTTTTTTTCCCTTTCCCCACGAACAGGGCCATCTTAACAGCATTAAGGGGCCCGGGCAAAGCAGTGTACTGGGGTCCCTATGACAACTACTCACAGGAATAAAAACGGTCAATACAATGAAACATATATTTGCAGGTTAGTATTAATTTTTTAAAAACGCAGTAAAATGTAAGCAATAGCTTGCTCTGTTTATATGATGCAAGGTGGATTGAAGGGTTAATGTACACCAGAGGTCTCCAAACTTGGCAACTTTAAGACGTGTGGACTTCAACTCCCAGTTCAATTCTGGGAAGTTGAAGTCCACATGTCTTAAAGTTGCCAAGTTTGGGGACCCCCGATGTACACAGATTAGTATGGGGCCCAGGGGCAAGTGCCCACCAGGCCCAGGCATTAACACAGCCCTGCCCGAGAACCACTGGCACCTGCGGGTGCAGGTTTCCTGGCCGAGGCAGTTTTTGGATCCATTCCTCTGCTACTCACAAGCTGACTCCAGTTTTGACGCTGGTTCGCAACAGGTAGGCTTTGGCATTCTTTATGGCCAGAGCCCGAGGACCCGGATCCGGAATTTGGTCTTCGTATAAACTCATCATCCCCAGCTGGGACAGGTAGCCGGGTTCATGGGGCTGATAAGGGCCGTGACTGTCCGACTGCAGGATCTGGCTGCTCCTGGATGCCGAGGTTGGGAAAGTGGTCCCTGGCCTCTGATCCAAGAAGCCGGGTGGCTGCTGCGGCAGCTGCTGCCAAGACACGCCGGCCCTCGAATCCGCCGTGGCGCCCCTCGATTGAAAGAGGGCGCCTCTGGCTTGCTGGGGCTGGTAGACGTTGCCTCGGCCTTCCTGCTGCTGGTCGTAGACGCTCAGCCGAGGCTCCTCGGGCTGGTAGACGGCGCTTCGCTGGGGCTGCACCGGAGCCGGACCCAGCGGCTGACTCTCTTCGCGGGGGACCCCGTCCGCATCGGGCACGTTGGGGTCCCCGGGCGTGGCATCTGGGGTCCCCGGCTGGTCTTCGGGGGGTTCTTCCATTTGGCAAAAGCGGGCGAGCGCGAAATTTCGCGCTTCGCCTGGCCGAAACGCTTCGCCTTTTGCAGTTTTCGCCAAGCGTTGCTAAGGTCAACCGGGCACCGTTGCTAGGGAAAGCGGATTGGCTGCGACGCTCCTAACGAGGAAGAAGAGCGCCTCCAGTGGTCGCCTCGGGAAAACCGTGTTGGGCGGGTCTGCCGGGCGTTGTTCAGCCACTGTGTGGAAATTCAGTTGCTGGGCTTAGCCAAGGCGTGAAGCCAGATACCCCAGGACAGGGGTATCCAACCGTGGCAACTTTAAGTCTTGTGGACTTCAACTCCCAGAATTCCTCAGCCAGGAATTCTAGGAGTTGAAGTCCATAAGTCTTAAAGTTGCTGGCTGAGGAATTCTGGGAATTGAAGTCCATAAGTCTTAAAGTCGCTGGCTGAGGAATTCTGGGAGTTGAAGTCCATAAGTCTTAAAGTTGCTAAGGTTGGAGACCCCTGCCCAGGATTGTCGGGTTTGTTTTGTGAGCATGGTCCAGATTGCTTGTTGACTGGACATCATTGTCTTTTTTCTTTTTTAAAAAAAAATATGTTTTAAAGAAAACAAAAACACAACACTAATATAATAAAGGGAGAAAGAAGGAAAACTTTAAAAAGTGCAGAGAAAGATAGAAAGAAGCTTCTGATTTCTTCTGTAGCAGATATAATAAAATTATCTCTTAGACTCTGGTTGCAAAAAGCTCTCACTGTTTTCTACTGACCATTTTTAATCATTAAAACCATCTGTTACAAGTGCATTTTCCCCATTTCATGCAAAAATTCTGCAAGGAGTTTCCAGTCAACTATTAATCAAATGATGATACTGAATTAGGTGCTACTGATATGCTAATGTTATTGCTAAAATGTATGATTTGTAATGTATCTAAAAATGTATGATATGAAATATACATAAAATGTATGTTTTGTTGACATGAGAGAGAAAAAGGAGTGGAATAATGTATGATAAAGGGGCCAAAACTTTGCTTACAATATGCAAATGGAACAATGATAGAAAAACCTTGGCTAAATGGACTAAAATTTACATTATGCTCTAAACTTAAAGAGAATTTTTATAAAATGACATATTGAGTCACCTGCCAGACCTACCGGTAAGTATATTAGAAAAGACTAAACTATTTTCCATTGTAATACAATACTTTTAATTTATAAAGGAAATGGCATTTCCTCTTTTGCTTGACAGTCCGGAGTGGGGAGGAAATATTCTACAACAGAGGTGCCCAACCTTGACAACTTGTGGACCTTCACAACTTGTGGACTTGAACTCCCAGAATTTCTCAGCCAGCCACACTGGCTAGAGAATTCTGGGAATAGAAGTCCACAAATCTTAAAAGTTGCCAAGGTTGGACACCCCTGGACACTACAACTATGACCAATGGTGACAGTCTAACCATTTGGCAGGAGATTAATGGACCCCAAGTTCAAAGAGGGCAATGTACATGAAAATAGATTAGCATAATATATGGTTGATATGGCTATCAGGTTGATTTGAAAACATTCTCAGAAACTAATAGAAAAATATAGCAAGTCATTTATCCAGCAGATGGCAGCTGTATTCCAATGATGTTTTCTGGTGTAAAATTCAAACGAAAAACAAAATAATGTAACTGCATCCGCGGACAAAATGTTGAATGTGGTAGGATAGTTTTAAAGTGAAAATAATGTGTTCTGTTATAGAAATACAAGTGAAGTATTACCATGGGATGAAATGTACATGAACGTACTGTTATAGTTTATTGTGAAAATCCCCCCCACCCCCAATAGGGTTATTCTTACATAAAATCTCTTAATCAATTTGGGAAAGAAAATATATTTCCTTCTCTTTATTTCTAGGCTTCTTTTTAAAATGAGAAGAAATGTATCTTTCTGAAATTATTTGAAAAAGTATAAAATCACCTTTGGAAAATGATTCAGGGATAGTGTCTGCCCTGAATAAATGAAGTTATACTCAAAGTTGGTCAAATCATTTTAGTCACTTAGCCCAAAAATTGTGTTGAAGATTGGTTGTTGGAAGCAGCCACTTCAAAGAATTTATGGTATGGTATAAAATGTTGTTTAATTTCTACTCTTTGTTGTCTGCTATAAACTAAACCGGGGTGTCAAACTCATGTAGTCATGGCATTGTCACATGGCATATAAGGACTTTCCCCCACCCTTTGCTAAACTAGGTGGGGCATGGCCAGCACGTGATGCATCTGGCCCGCAGGCCACAAGTTTGACAGCCCTGATCTAAACAGGTTAATCAAATAAAGAATCTTATTATGAAAGGTGTAGGAAGTAATTCTGTAAGATGATAATTTCCCCCCATGTTTCTTAGATTTCTTATGGAGAAACTTGTCATATCTTTAATTTATTCAGATGCTTCTGAATAAATTAAACTTTAACATTTGTAGGAAGGTAAGATTGAGGCTACCTATCTTATTCCACATCCCTGCCTTAAACATGTATGTCTATAGGATAAAATTTCCTCTATGTTCCTGCCTTTCTGTCTGCACTAAGGCAAACCTGTGTGAGAAGAGCAACTGTAAGTGAATGGTTATAGCAGGAGAGAAGACAGACCAACTTGTGAAATGCCATTCTTTAATTATTTGAGGAAATTGCTATCATTACATGAGATTCTTTCATATAGTTAAAAAATGTCCTTACTCTTTATTCAGTGTTAATTAAGAGGGATGAGAGGGTTAAACACCATAATTTTATTGGATGATATAAAAAAGTGGGATTCGCATCTTTGGAAATGATTGTTCAGTTTTTCATTGTGTAGAAACCACCTTATATAGTGTCTGTTAATATCAGTGGAATAAATAATTATAATAATTTAGTTCTTAATTTCCAACTGATGCTCCATTGGAGCTAACTTATTTTCCTTGTTACTATAATAGAACTGAAGATAAGGTTTTAAAAGGCTCTAAATTATCTTTGAGGCATGGTTTGTAAAGGACTAAGTATATGAGCCCTAGCTCAGTCAATCTCTTGACAAATGAGCTTTAAAACAATTAACACCGTTGATTCAATGTGCTTTTACCAATGTTAGAAGCTTAAAAGATTTCCGATCTGCCCCCCCTCCTTTCTTGGTACCACACTGGCTCCATGGGAAGACAGGAATTTCCTCAGAGTGGGGTGGGGAAACGCCAGAGATGGAGTCTACCTATCTGAGGGCAAAGTTCCTACCTCTTCCACATTTCACACAGGACCAGAGCTCAAAACAGGGGCATCCTGAATTGCATAGGAAGGACACATTGAGACCAACATGTACATAAACCCCAAGTTCACACAAAGGACCAGTCCTGTTATAAAACCAAATTCCTGCAGCCCATTTTCTCCATAGTCTACCCTTGAGAAAAGAGCTTTTGTTCCTCAGAATAAAATCTCCTCATTACATAGTATGATTGGATTTCAATTTTCTTAGATTTGTTATTGCTTCACCCCAACTTATGAAAACCACAAATTATTCTCTC